CTACATAAATTGCCCCTAAAGACTGATGGAATGAAGTACCAGCCTGATCATTTTACTTAAAAAAAAACACAACAAGATACCCTTCTCTCCATTTTGTTTGCTTATTTTTAAAATCTACTGCCAGTTAAAGATACTCATATAGTTTTACACAGCTCATAATGTTTTACCCTGCAAAAAAATCATAATGGTTGTTTTCATATTCCTAAATGAAGTAAGCGTAATTTCAAACAAAATCACTTGTATAATTACTGAGCTATGACAACCGTTCATCTGTTTGGTAACAGGAAGAAAAGGTAATGTTGCCCCGGTTCTCAGAGCTAATTAGCTAATGTAAGCATTGGCTAACCACACCAGCCGCCAGATGGAAGGATCACTTCTGACTCACTGCAATGTATCAAATGCTTCCATCAGATATTCCTGCTCCCAAGGAGGCATGATCATTCCTTCAGAGTTACAGACCCTTCATGAAAACAGGAACCTTGAGAGGCAGTCCTTCCTGGACGCACCTCGCTGGAATAGATTTATGCTCAGAATGGGCATGATGTTCGGATCAGGGGCATTTTATTGTATTTGATAGATGGTTCAGTGGCGAATACATGGCAGAAACGATCATTATTAGGCCACCTTTAGAGGATGAATTAGAAAAATTCAAAACTATGATGCTGTCTTTTTTTTTTTTTTTTTTTTTTCCCTTGTCCCCCCGGGCGGGGGGGCGGGGGGGGGTTTCGGGCTCACTGCAAGCTCCGCCTCCCGGGTTCACGCCATTCTCCTGCCTCAGCCTCCCCAGTAGCTGGGATTACAGGCATGCACCAGCATGTCCAGCTAATTTTTGTATTTTTAGTAAAGACGGAGTTTCACTATGTTGGTCAGGTTGGTCTTGAACCCCTGACCTCAGGTGATCTGCCCACCTTGGCCTCCCAAAGTGCTGGGATTACAGGCGTGAGCCACCGTGCTGGGCCAATGCTGTCTTTTTAGATACTATCTTTTGTGGTAATGGCAGAGTGACAAATGAACTTGGAAAATGGTCCCTGATGTACAGAACCTATCAATAGCAAAGAACGATTCCCCGTAGTCTGTTTTAGGTAGCATTTGTCCGTTTTCCTGGACACTTCAGATATCTAATGTTATCTTTTTATAGAAATAGTTATAAAAGCTCCACTTTTATAAATGCTTTTCAACTCTTCTCTAATGGATGAATCCATTATTGGAAGCAAACTGAGACGCTACTTAAAAGAGGGAATGGTGACATACTCAGGGTTCCTAAAAGTTGTCAGCCTGAGGAACTTACGGATTTTAATTGAAGGGTGTTCTACAGAAGGATGCCAGCCAAGAAGTGTGGCACAACTCACTGGGCTCATTTCTCCTCTTCACAACTACAAGGGTGTTGATGGCTCTTCATAGTGAGGAAGAAAATCAGGACTGTAAATGTCTAAACTTGTGCTGTCACATGTGGCAGCTGCTAACCACACGTGGCTACTGGGCACCTGAAATGCAGCTGGTCTGAGACGAGCTATGCTCTAGGTATAAAATGCACACTGGATTTCCAAAACACAGTATGGAAAAAAGAAAATATGTAAAACATCTCATTATCATATTTGTATTAACTATACGTTAACGTGATACTATTTGGTAGTCTTTGGGTTAAATAAAATGTTATTACAATTCAATTCACCTGTTTCTCTGTACCTTTTTAGTCTAGCTACTAAATATTTCAAAGTCACATACATAGTTTGGGAAATAAACACATACCTTTCCCAGTTATTCAATCCAGCACTAACTTAGGTGTTCCTGTGAAGGGATTTTGGAGGCATAAATAATGTACCTTATCAATTGACTCTAAGTTAAGGAGATTATTTTGTGTGGCCTTTACATAATCATTTGGGAAGTCTTCAAAGAGGGCTTAGAATTTCCCTTACAGAGAGACCCCTGCCTGGGGACAGCAGCTTTGACCTCTTCCTGGGGAGCCTGGCCTGATCCCTATCTTTCCTTCCCAACAGCCGGTCTTTCAGAATTCAGATATAATGCCAGCCCTACCAACCGTCTGAGCCAGTTCCCTGATCTAAGCCCATACATTTGTCTCCATGCTAGTGGATTTGCTTCTCTGCTGGAATTTTTACTCACAGAGTCAAGTGCTTGGGCATGAGGTGTTGCTGAAGCAAACATGGGCACAGCTTTGGAACTGGGTAGTGGGTCAGAGCTGCCAGGTTTTGGGGAGAGTCATAGAGGAGGTCTCAGGTGCCTCGGATAGACGGCTAGTAGAAATCTATCTTGTAACGATACTCTTGGTGGGACTGGGAAAGAGAGACATTCCTGGAAACTGAAAGAGGTGGCAGAAGCTTAGCAGAAGTGGTTCTGTGATTAGGTGGGAAGCAGGGTGTTCAGTGACAAACACAGATGAACTGCTAAGGAGATTTCCAGGCCATGTGTCCAAGAGGCCGCTTCATTTCTTCTTGCTGCTGATACTAAAACATGATAGGAAAGACATAAATTGACGGGAGGACTGTCAAACACAAAGGAATCAGGGCTGGATGATTTTGAAACTTCTCAGCCTCTGCAGATGGCAAAAGAGGCTGAAATTTGGAAGCGAGAGCTGTGGCAGCATTTGAGACAGGAAGGCAGAGTGTGTGGCTGCACAGCCGTGCTCTGAAACCTCAGAATGACCGTAAGGTCAGAACACAAGTATTACCTCCTAGAAAGGATACTTTTTAAGAAATTGAGGGTTTCTTATCCATCTTATCAATGGATGCAACTAGATAGCTAAGGAGCATTGTCCCTTTGACGTCTCAGCAGGAGTCCAAGACGGAGAAAAGATTATCTCAAAAATATGTGAGAGCATGGCCTTTGTCTGAGTCAACACTGGTAAAACCCATCCACTGTAAAAACACTTTCTTAGCAAGTATTTCCAGCACTGTACGTTATTATTCCAGAAAAATAAATTAAGTTTATTACTTCAAATACATTTTTAGTTCTTACTAAATTTATTACAAGTAATAAACTTAAAGAGAACTAAAGAACTATTCAATGATGATCAAGGTGTATCTAACTTAAGTAAAACAAGGGACTCGTCAGTGAGAAGAGAAGATGGATAAGCCAGGCACTCTTTGCCTGTGGAGTTGAAAGGAAGAGGCAGAGCCTTGGCGGTTACTAGCAACTTTTCCAGAAACCAAACCAAACACACCAAGCAAGAGAGGCCCTGTGGAGAAAGTGTTCTCTTCCAAAGTATGATCAAGTGGGACACTTGAATCGATGAGAACAGAAAACCACAAAGAATCCTCTTCTAATTCTCTCTAAGCGTGAGTAGCTGAGGGGTTGAGAAGGATGGGAGAAATGTCTCCACCTTCAGCCTGGATGGAGCAGCTGTTTCCTGAGACGTAAGCACCTCTGAGCGTGTGATACGTTTGGGACAGGATACCGAGAAAGCGCTTTGAGTTTAAGACGAGAGTCAGGGCCAAGAAAAAGGCAATGTCATGGGTTAACTTATAACATCAAATAATATAAAGGCACATATTTAAGTTACTCTAAAATATTGATTTAAAAGCAACATGTAAAAGAAGCACATTCGCTATTTGTCAAAAGTGCACTTTAAAAATAATGAAGTCTATTTCTGGGATATAAGAGCAAGAAAACTATCCAAGGAATTTTTTTTTTTCCCCTAAAGGAAAAATAATCCATGTGACTCGTCCCTCGTGTGTAGTTGGGAGGCTTGTGCATCAGCAGCTCTAGTGGGAACAGGAATTTTAGTACGGTTCTTTGAAGTGCTTAAGAGTCTTATGTTAGAATTGAAAAATGTACAATCAAAGTAGTCTAGTGACAAAAAGAAAGGGACAGCCATGTGCCTTTCCTTGACCAGACACTGCTGACTCTGTGAAGGGTCTCCATTTAAGAGGTGACAGCTCGCTGTCAGCTGGGCCATACACCCACCCTGCCCTTCCTGTCGGGACGGGTCTGGTAAAGCTCTGTCCTCTACATGTGACAGGCCCCAGTGGTTATAGGGACCAGGTACAATACAGTAAATGGTGCCAAAGAGTATTCCTAGCTTAGATGACAATAGTGACATGTTTGGCAACTAGTTAATTTCACAGGCACTATGCTTCCTGTACCTTTTTTTTTTTTTTATAACTAAAATGCTTAAAAGTTTAAAATGTTTAAGTCCATTCACATGAAAAGACTATATGGAAAGATAAAGTATTCTTACATAGGAAGCTTTCCTTTTTAGTCAAACTAGTGCTTTTCCTCCCAAAACTACCAGTTTACATAAATCATTTTACAGCCAAAATTCAAAAACAAAACCTCCAAACCTAGCATTTCTTTAATTTTATTATTATTATTTTTCATTTTAAAACAACCAAAATAATTTTCTGCTGGTTTCAATATGATTTCTGTAATTCTGGTAAGAATTGGTATATACTTCATAGCAGTAACAAATAAACAATTTAACATTTGCTGACTACATACGTTTTATTTGAAAATGATGATGATAATAATGATGAATATTTTACTCTGCTAACTATGTTAGAGATTAAAGATCATTCACTAATAAAATGATGATTTGGAATCGGGTTAATAATTCCTTTCATTACTACATGTAATTAATACCTAAAAAATTCAACCTCACTGCAATGGGAAAGTGAACTTTTTAGATTTGCGGGGCGCACAGAAACCTTTCTGGCAGCTCCAGCTGTGGAACATATATTCACACACATGCACACTGTGTGTGTGTGTAGATAGATGCCAAGTTACAGTGAGTATGCGTGGCTTTGCTCACATCTGTCCTCAAATGTAAAACACAAAAATATTCTTGGAAACGTTAGCTTCTTAACAAATTCCAAGGAAAGATTTCTGTTATTACCCACATCACTATGAAAACATACATTACTACCAAGTGGTACTCTGCCTGTAGACAATGCTTCATGCTTAAATTGTATATTCAGAAAAAAAAAATGCCAACCCTAAAGAAAGAAAGAGATAATCTGGGCTTTACCCCACCACAGGTGCCTTACCTCGGCAGATGGGCCGGTGGTCACTCCAAGCGGCGAGCGTCTCTGTAACTCTCTGACAGGTGATGCTTTTGGATCCCTGGAGCACGTAATTGTCCTCACAAGAAAACTGTACATTTGCACCAACCCTAAGCAGTTAAAAAATAAAACAAAAATCCCAAATTATTCACAGAAGACTTCTTTGGGGAAAAAAAAAATCAGCAAAATGGCCGCTCCGACGTTGTGCAGTTAAAACAGCCTAAGACATTAAGCAATCCATTTGGTATGATTTATAGAGGCAACCCTGTGATTTAGCAAAGGTTATAAAATCAAGAGACTTGGGTTCAGATTCCTGTTCTTCCACCTTCACAGCTAAACAAACATATGAACCTTAACTTGTCACGACTAAGATAGAAAATAAATAGCAAAAATGACCTTACTGAATGTTGTGGCTTTAATAAGAAAACAAATGTGAAGAAATTTTGTACCCTGAAAACAAGAGGAAGTTGGATGTCATTCATCATGAATAAATATTTTACAAAAACAAGAAGTAAAAAAGTCTAGGTTAAGAAAATATCTCAGTAAAGAACATATTTTACTATCACACATGTTAATTATATTTAAAAGAAAGCTAGTGATATTATATTTCAGAAATTCTTATAGGAAAAGAATGATTTGTTTTACTTTTCTTTCTTTTTGTTGTTGTGTTTTTGTTCATTTTGTTTTTAGACGGAGTCTCGCACTGTCACCCAAGCTGGAGTGCAGTGGCATGATCTCAGCTCACTGCAACATCCGCCTCCCAGGTTCAAGCGATTCTCCTGCCTCAGCCTCCCAAGTAGCTGGGACTATAGATGTGCACAACCACGCCCGGCTAATTTTTGTATTTTTAGTAGAGATGGGGTTTCACCATGTTGGCCAGGCTGGTCTTGAATTCCTGACCTCAAGTGATTCACCCGCCTCAGCCTCCCAATGTGCTAGGATTACAGGTGTGAGCCACTGAGCCCGACTGTGTTTTAGAAGAAAGCAATCCATCCAGCCTGGAGTTAGAGAAAAAACTGTCCTGGCTCCAGCGCTGCATCTGCAAACACGGAGCTTTACGGTTGCAAACATTAACAAAACGCTGTCTCAGAACACCAACTGGACAGCTGCATTCAAAAGTGTGAGAGGCAGAGATCAGGTTTGAACACCACCCAATTACTTCTTCTGAGCCTGGCTTCTGGCATTGAATGAAATGTAGTCTTATTTAACTATCTGACAAGCCCATTGTTACAAGAGGAAATTCTACTCATGTTTTTAATTTGAGAAACCCCGGGCTGTTGTTGAGGAAACAGAAGTGAAATAAGGAGTCTTTGCAGAAAAAGAAGCACAGTTGTCAGTGTGGATGGATGAAGTTAATAATAGAGACAACATAGGGGAAACATAAATAGATGCTTTTCTTTCTTGCTGAGTGAAAAAAAAATCCATATCTATAATATGAGAATAAATTAACATTCCAGTAACATTGCACCAGCATCCCCCTATGGCATCTATGAAACACTCTCTGGGGATTGCCATAGATGTGTCTACAACAGCCGTCAAATCAGAGTCAAACCAATTGGGAAAATTCTAGGTTAAACAACATTAAACACCTTTCTTCTTTTCTAAAGGGGTGTCTTATCTTAATAAAACTTAATATGCAAAAGCTTATTTTAGAAAATAATGAAGAGAATTCAAAGGATGTAGACTTTTCCAGATTTAGCTGTCTAGGAAGCTCTTTTTTCCTCCAGGAATCCAGGACAACTAGAGTTCTGTGGAACTAATTTTGAGAAACCCAGCATTGTAAGAACATAATAGGTACTAATTTTAAATGTGAAAAATATAAAAAACAAAACCCAGTCATTATTCCCATTTTAATTGCTAGCCATAACACTTATTTAAGACATCTGTAATTGTAGACATATTCCGCCACCATAGTTTTTGCACATTGATCTGTGTTTAAACCTCATCTAAGAATTTTTTTAAAGACAATTGCTATATCTTTGTGTTTTCTATTCCAGATATCAATCTCCAGTTCTTTCTATTTACCTAAATTTTAATATTCATAGTTTTCACCATTCTTTCGATATATTTTCATTGAACATCTACCATGTGTCACACTCTAAGTACCAAAGCAGCAGAAGTGAATAGCACAAAACCACAATATCATGGAGATAACCTGATAGTTAAGAAAGAAAAAAGTAACCAAACCAAACATAAAGAAACCAAAAAAGTGTCACAATGTGCCATGAAGAAAATAAATAAAATGACACGAGAGTCCTCGGGTAGGAAGAGTTGGAATTGGAGTGTGGCCACTTTTTCAATGATCCCCTTAACCTAAGCCCCTGATATTTAATGTAACATTCCAGGGGGGTTCAAACAGAAAGGGAGGATGGGGGGCATTGCTTCAACCTAGCAAGCACTGTATTTCAGTGACTGCAGTACATAGCACATCACTGCTTAGTCGTGGAGGGCTCTGTGCTCCTATAAAATCTCTCTCTTTTCATGCATTTTTTTTCCTACATCCAACCAATATTCCTTTAGGTATAAGTAGCAAATCGTATTCTGTTTTGAGAAAAAAGCAATCAAGAAGCCTAAATCCCCAAAGCACAAGCAACACAGGCAAAAATAGACAAATGAGATGACATCAAACTAAAACCCTCATGCACAGGAAAAGAAACAAGCAATAGAGTGAAGAGACACCCTACAGAATGGGAGAAAATACTGGAGAACAAAATATCTGGTAATGAGTTCATATCCACAAATACAAAGAACTCAAACAAGGAAATCACAAGAAAACAAATCATCCATGTAAAATACGGGCAAAGGACCTGAATAGACATTTCTTTAAAAAAGATGTAAAAATGGCCAACAGGTATATGGAAAGGTGTTTCGTGTCATTAATCATCAGGGAAATGCAAATTAAAACCACAGTGAGATATCAACTCACACCTTTTAAGATGGCTATTATAGAAAAGACAAAAGATAGTAAGTGTTGGTGAGGATGTGGAGAAAAGAAAACCCTTGTACATTGTTGTTAGAAATGTAAAATATGTAAATTAGCATACTCATTACAGAAAATACTATAGGGGGTCCTCAAAAAATTAAAAATAGAACTCCTACATGATCTAGAATTTCACTTCTGATCGTATATCTGAAGGAAATGAAATCAATACGTTGAAGAGATATCTGCACTCCCGTAGTCACTGCAGCATTACTCGCAATAGCCAAGCCATGGAATCAATGCAAGGGTCCAACACTGGACCGAGAAATGGATAAAGAAAATGTGGTGTGTGTGTGTGTGTGTGTGTGTATGTGCACACGCGCGCGCGTGTGTGTGGGCGTACACAATGAAATATTATTCAGCCTTTTTTTAAAAAAAGAAGAAATCTTGCCATTGTGACAACACAGTTGATCCTGGGGGAAATTATGCAAAGGAAAATGAACCAGGCACAGAAAGACAAGCACTGCATGGTCTCATTTCTATGTGAAATCCGGAAAAATAGAACTCACAGTAGCAGAGTGTGGGTACCAGGGACTGGAGGAAGGAGAGGAAACAAATAATACAAAATTTCACTTAGGAGAAAAAAGCTCAGGAGATCTATCATACAGCATGGCGACTGTAGTTAATAACAGCATATTGTATACTTGAAAATTGCCTGGAGAGATGTTGAAAGTTGTCACCATGAAAAATGACAAATATGTGAAGTAATGGGTATGTTAATTAGCTTGATTTGGCCATTTTACAATGTATTCATGTTTCAGACTGTCATGTACACCATAAATATCTATAGTTTTTGTCAATTTTAGGAAAGAAAATATCACCACTCTGACTAATTGATTTCATTTCTGGCAATATAATATATGTTTATCATCCAAAATATAGGAAATTTCTGGTCAGTGATATTCTTTGGAAGACATGAAAATGGCCAACAATAGGACTATGCTTGACTAAGTTTTTTTGGATATATTTGAAAGAATGCAACGTTGCTTTATAAAAGGCAAACATAAAATATATGTAGCAATAAAGAAAAATAAAAAGGACATATGTAGCAATATAGAAAAGGAAAAAAGAATAATCCAAAATTGTATGTACTCAAAATAACAATGATCTCTCTATCCATACTTACATCTAAATATCAGGAAGATAGACACAACCCATTTTTGAGTGGTACTATCACAAGTAAATTTTTCTTTATATATTCAAATGATTATTTGTTTCCTGATTCTATTACTCTATAATTTAAAAGTTAAAATAAAAACATTTATGCTGCTTCTATTAGACTGTTCCTTCCTTCTCACTCATCGAGGTAGTCACGTGCACTCTCCAGGACCTGAACTCAGCTCTTCCTCTTCTCAGATTTCCACCAGAGGAGAGTTTTGAAAGCCGATTCCAGTGGAGAGTGGAGGATTGCTCCCGGGCTCCACGATCATCACCTGTTATCACAACCTGGTCCAGAAATCTCTGCACACATTCATATTCAGCACATTGAGAGTACAGTATAGAACTCACTCCATCATTACGATCATGAAACCTTTTCGCAGATTATCGGAAATAGCCATCAATAGAATAAGGAAGCTTCTCTAATTTGAAAGCATTACAAATACTAACAGGAGCAACCTCCTCATGTGATTGCAGCCGGCAAACAGAGCCAATGCAGGTAAACACCATTCCAGCAGCACAGCCAAGGAGACGCCTCCACTTGAGAATCAATCAAGTTGAGGTTGAAACTAAATAAGACCCCAATTCTAATTTATTAATTCAATCTTTTGCTCTCGTTTTATCTAACACATGAATCAGTTCAATTTAAAAGCCATGTGTGTTTTCAACTTCAAATATATAATAAACGAAGTTTTCACTGATTTATGATTACTATGTTTGAAGTAACATATATCAGATTATCTAATTTGGTTTTCTGGAAAGAAGTCTCAGAGGAAAATTCTAGGAAAAAAAAGCTAGCAGTACCTTTCTATTGGCAAGTAACTTTAGTGCACTGTAGATTAATTACGTTGCACAATTTATACAACTGTTAGTAGTTGGTAACTGTAAGAAATACTGGAGAACTGATTTTGTGTGAGATCAAGATACATGGTACATTGACAATAAATACCACACAGCAAAATTTAACTCAAA